CCCCAAAACCCCAAAACCCCAAAACCCCAAAACCCCTTTTTTAAATAATTTATTGATTTTAAACTTTCCAAAAATGTAAGCTAAGCAATTTATTTCAATATCGCTTCCCATTCCTCAAAAATTATTGCCTCTCATCTTTCAACCCAAACATCTCCTCATCTCCAATACCCCAATCTCCCATTTCTATCTCCATAGTTTTCAGAAAATGGATAAAATCCCAGTCAAGAAGTCTACTTTACAGAAGATAATCAAAGATTTTACTGCAGTGAAATCCCAGTTTTGGACTCTGAAGGCTGAATACAAGTAAATTACAGCAGGAATTTGTGAATGGGAATATAAGGAGAGCAAAGCAGGCTGATGTCTTGTTAGAGCAATCTAAAGACTTTCATCTCCAGCATTTATAGTCGATATTTGAGAATCAACAAAACTCATTATTAACATAATAACTGAGTTTTCTAATGAATCTGGAGGAACAAAACAAGGAGAGCTTCCGAAAGTTTTAGAAGAAGCAATGAAAGAGGTGCTCAATTTACAGAAACATTTGATGAGATTTACAATTGATTGCTACAAAACCCATAAGACTGATGCTACAACTATTGAGCTTTATGGAGACTTTAATGATTCTCAACCTGGACAAAGCATTCAAGGGCAAGGAGAGGTGAAGTTACAAGAAAAGTTCAGAAAAGGTAGGAATGCAAGTCATTCTGATAAAAAGAAGCTGCCGCTTTTGCAATCAGATAAAGGTACTGATGAGTTTTTCACCCCAAAACTTCAAGAAAATTTCTTCTTCAACAAGGAAATATCTTACTGATGCTTTTTATAGGAAGTGATCACAACGACATTATTGAACATCACATAGCCCAAAACTCCAGCAGCGATGAAATCTTCTTAGACGATGATGAAGATGAATCATTCTCATCTTTGATTCCAGAGTCTGCAAAGGATAGTAATATCGAAGAAATCAAACTAAATTCTAATTTCAAGCTGAAGTCTTCTGAAAAGTACCTGCTGTCTCTTAATCTATAGGGAGAATCTAGAAGATGTATCATATACCGAATTAATGGCAGTCTCAAACATCTCTAAAGGTATCCCCTCTTACCAAATATAGAAACGAAAACATCAGGAATGACTGCAAAGCTTCGTCGGCTGATTCAAGAAGATTACAAAATTTTCAGAAGTAGGATTTACCATTTATCTATAGAAAACAAAGCGAAGGAATTGGACTCCATGAGGAGGTACTTTCTCATAATAATCTTTAGCGTGACTTCTGTGATTAAGACTGACCCTCAAGGATCAATCACCCTGACTAAATCAAAAAGACATAGGAAGAAGTAAGCCTATGTATCACTCCTAGCTCATTAAATAAAATTGAATTTGAAAATTCTGACGAGAAGGGATCACCAAAGATCAGAAAACAGAAAGAATTGGACTTCTCACTCACGGAAATAAACAAGATTTTGGATAAAACTCAGGAGAATGGCAAGGAAGAAACTGATGTCCATCATAACTTTTTGGTTACCCTGTGACATCAGAATAAGAATTTAAATGATCATAGCTTTAAGAGGTAAGAGAAATAGTTATGCTTTAGTTTTAATTATGAACCAAAAGAGAAAATGGTAGGGACTGATGAGCTCAAACCGCAAGAGAGGTAGTATTAGAGTGATATTTTTAGGAGCTATAAATCTAAATTGAGAGATTACCCATTGGAATCAGCGAAAGAAACTTATGACCTATACTCGATGAAGCTTGAAAAATCTCAAAATCAAATTCAGCAACTCAAAAATAAGCGATTAAATAATCAAAACATATCACAACTTACAGAAGAACTTAAAGAACAGATTAAACCTCCTCAGAACTCAGCAGAAATTGCTAAAAACCATCTCTCCATTGACCGAAGTTCAGTGTTTGACATCACCGAAAAATACTCAAAAGAGAACAGTGACTCCCAAAAACCCTCTAAATCCTAAATCTAGTCCTCCCAAACCTCTAAATAAGCCACAAGGTTCTCCTGATGCTCCCAAACCAAGTGTCCAGTTTATCATCAACAAGGTATTTTCTTCCTCAATTTTAGAAATGTAAAATAAAGCAAAGGATTAAAAGACAGAAGAAGAACGCTAAACCAACATTTGATAGCTTCACCAACAGGCCTACAATGGAAAGGTACTCCATTAACAAATCCTTCTGTATCAAGAACCCAATTGCATCAGCGAGAGTGGTAAACCAGATTCACCAGAAGAGAAGCTCTAATGTAGATTTCCAGCGCAAAGAGTCTCTGTCTCGGTTTAAAAACAGACATCTTAGTTCTAGACGTCAACGAGTAGTAAGCACCTTGGGTAACTTTAGGATTACTCTAATAGCTCATTCTCAAATGGGCTTCCTTATGAGGCTCATCATTCTCAGGATCAGAATGTAGCTGGGAAGTAAGTTTACAATCTGATGGAAATAGAAAGTTCTCCACAAATCTTCATTCAAGGCATATGAGTCATAGTTCAATCCGAAATCGCAATCTTATAGTAAATGTCCAAGTCATGGGTAGGAGATTTCAAGAGAACTATAGAATCTAACTCAAGCAGCTACCTTCCAGATGGAGTTCAGAGAAGAGGAGGTTCATATGCATCAGCAGATAGATACAAGAACAAGTAATTTAGAGAAATGATCTATTAGGCCTATTAAGAATTCTGCAAAGAAAATGCAGCTCAGTAAGCATAACATAACCTCTCTAGAGAGTAGACATAAGAACAGCATTGCTGAAGGCATAAAACATTTGAAAATGATATCAGAGGCAAAGGTAAGCCACTCTAGACTAATTTGTCAGAGCAAAAGGAACAATCGGAAGATAATGGAAGGCAGGAAGTAAGTTTGCATATATTTCTTTGGCTTATTTACTTTAGGTCTAATCGAAACAAGCCTGATTATCATAATTTTTCTCAGTACAACAACTATGTTAGGAAATCCGAAAAGTTCAAAGTCCTGTAATCATTCAGAACTAATATTTTTAGTGGAAAAGAGATAAGCATCCCACTTAAGAAAAGCAAGAATGTAATTGAGGGACCATATTCAAGCAGGGTGCATAGAAATAGTCCTTATAGGGCCAGATCAAAGAAGGCCAAGCCTAGTAAGAGCAAGCGGAATCTTTAGGAAAACTAATGGAGCTTAATAAGCCATTGTGATAATTCGTATTTTCAATTACTCTTTTAAAGTAAGGGGTTTTGGGGTTTTGGGGTTTTGGGGTTTTGGGGTTTTGGGGTTTTGGGG